GGGGGGGGGGGGGGGGGAGCGGCGGGCGCAACACAGGACGCGCCCACACTTAAAAATGAACCTCATATTTTTTCTCGAGGTTCGTTTCTTCTTTTCTCTCTGGGGTAGTGAGTAACCCAACATCGTCTACATAGGATCTAGAATACATCAATGGACTGAGAGCACCTGTTCTAAGGTCACGCTCATACAGTTTTACAAATTTGTAGGTTCGCGTTGTTAACTGTAGACATCTCAAGTGATGGTCATTGCACTTAACCACTACAGAGCATGTTTAGTACCATCCTCACCAATCTTCAGAGTTCCACGCCGGAGTGCCAGCAACAGTCACGTGTGTTATCAGGTCTAGCACTCTTGCATCTCGAAAGGTGGATCAGAGCACCGCACACCATGCAAGATGCCCGTGAACAGGTGCTTGTTGCCGAAACATCACTCGATCGACAACCAATGCCCCCCCGCACACCTCAACCACCACCAGGCATTGCAAGTTCACGTTTGTCTACTTTCTTGCGGAAATCACAACAAAAGCAGCAGTAAACAACGCCAGGCACGACTCATCGGCCATATCGAACCTTACCTGCATGGCCAAGGCCTCCATCCTGAAGTCGTCCCCGGACTTGACAATAAAGTGCGCCAGCTTCCAGCCCTTGAGATGCCCAAACGGACTCTGATGTCGCACCATGCGCTCCAGGGCAGCGCTCGTGGTGCCAAACACCTGGACGGGATGTTTCCAGCAGGGTTCCGGCAGGGTTCCAGCAGGGTTCCAGCAGGGTTTGGGGTTGAAAACAAGTTCATTCGATCCACGCAAATCCCTCAAAAAAGAGATATATCGTCCGAGCACAAGTGGGCAGCCACCAAATATTCGGACTGAAGGTAGGAGGCGTTTGAGAGATCCATTGATGAATGAGCGGAGTGGGTTGGTAGGTCATTGCTTCCAAGTGAGTAGGTATACAAAGCGAGCGTAGGATAGATAACCAGGGCAACAGCATAACTCCTGAAAAAGGGCCAATAGAGCAGCAACTTCATTGAATCGACCGGTGTAAACAGGTGGTAGCAGGGACGACGCCGATGCACAAAGCGTGCGAGACTACTTCCAACCAGACACACACACATACGGTAGTCTCGCATACACCAATCCTCTATATGGTACACCGGGTACGGCACGGCCAGAGCGGAACAACAGATGGACAACCCCATGCACACATGCCTCTTGGCTTATATCGAAACCCCCTTCTGACAACAACGGTGTTGAAGGTCACGACCTTCCGTTCGCAGCAACGCCTTCATGAATCAAGTTTTCTTTTACGGACCTCTCAAGTCGGTTTCAGCCATGTCTTGTACCGGCCGAACACTATGTTTGGAAATATAGGGATCATTGGGGTATTCACATTCGCATCCGATTTGGTCTCTCACAAAGTGAAACAGACGACCTCGATACCGAAGACGGAAAGGGCAACAACAATGGTAACAGCAACAGGCAAGCAAGCGTACAGTACGGGCCAGCACTTCAGAAATATTTTTCAAGAAACAGAGGCTCCAACTGTAAAGAACAAAAAAAAAGTTCAGAAAAACATACTACATGTAGCGGTGGATCCTATACCAAACTCTGTATGACAACCTGTACTATTACAGGCAGTGGCGACGAAAATAATAAATTGAGCCTCGACCCGATTTTGACGTTTCTTCTATTTCCACCCGCAATGTATTTACCTGCAGAGCTTCCCGCATGTTCTTGATATGCGGGCTGCTGGGGTCCCCGGAGGTGAGGTATTGGTTCGTCGCCCTGTCGAAGAACAAACAGTCCGCTTCCTCCAGCTCCAGCTGGTACGACTGCGATGATGCCTCGTCTTGGTTCTGATCTTCCCACTGCGAAAACCGTTACGAGAACCGTTACGACAGGGGGGTAACGTTGCCGTGAATGTTCATACCCGGGGGTTGGTCGGTCGCATATGTAATGACTAAGCGGTTCATTTTGGGGTCCCGTAAAACATTCTGACTCTAGGTTGTGGGTTCGAATCTGTCCGGAGTGAACAAACAAATATCTCGCAACCAAAAAAGTGAACCAAAAATGAACCAAAAATGCATGGTGGTGATTGATTCATAACGAAGAGAGAAGGGACTGCAAAACCGTTCCTGAGCGAAAAGTAGCAGGGAAGCACCGGTGGAGAAACACGAGAAGTTCCTCCTGCATCACCCCCGCTGGCACAAATATCCTGAACGATGTCGATGCAGACTGGCGCCCACTGTGGAGGGCGACAACGAAATGGAGCAGGTGCAAGGCACCCCTCAGCCCACTCGCTTGGCTCTGATTTTTGGCACTTCTGAACCAGGATTGTCGCCGTCTTGGTGACGATGAGGTCTCAGGAAACACGCACTGCTCGAGTGAGTGAATCGTACACCATGATGGTCTCGATGAACAGACCAGGGGGCTGTCGCTAAAATAGGAATGGAGGGTGGTAGCGTCAAAGAGCCCAGCCAGTTTGTCACTCCGGCCCGGGAATTTAACAAGATGCTTGCAAGGCCAAAAAATCTCGCCACTTCATGCACCACTATCAGAGCTGAAATGACATCTTCCAAAGTCGGGGCAACTGTTTCCTTCAATACACGTACTATGTAAATGTACGCACGGAAGGTACCAATCGAAACGCACTGCTCACTCTAGTTGGACCTGGTGGTGTTTGGGCTTCTCGATGGCCACAGAATACATAGCACACCCAGCTGAAGACACGACGTTTCCTCGACAGGTACTGCGACGACAAAATTTCTCCACAGTTGCCTCCGCGGGTGAAGCACTCACCACGTCCTGCCCCCTCGACCTCAACAGCTCCTCCTGCAGGGCTTGGGGTAAGGTCTTCTTATTGACCACGTCCTCGCAGGTCACCCCCGCACTGCCCCCCTCCAGATACAGGCGATCCGACGCGTAGCTGAGTAAAGACAACCATAGACAACAACAAAGCGAACGAGAGTTCGGGGGGTCGGCGCAGGCATGTCTTTAGCTGGAGGAAGCCCGCGGGGCGAAAACAACGAGCACGCAACGTCTGCGGACACCGGGGCGGTTGTACGTGCGAAGTGATTTCGACGGAGGTAATCCTCTGAGCTTCATTCGATCGGTCGGCGATAGGCAGGCGTGCCATTGAGCAAGTTGCCAGGAAAGGAATTTTATCAATATAGGTTCGAAATCATATGCAGAGCGCCTTCTGCAACCAGAAAACCACCGTCAGTCAGTCGGGTGCAGTACAGTAACCGCTTTGGTCACGCCGAAGGGGAAGGGGGTTAAGCTAAACCACCGCCCCGCACCATGGAAACCTGTGACATACATGCCAATGGGAGCATGGACCAGGTATTCGACACCCACTTTATCGTTTCGTGGGTATAAAGCAAGTGACCAATGAGCAAGCAGCAAGCAAGCAAGGTTAGTGAAAAATCGTGGCTTGTCTTTTCTACCCAACCTGATCGACAGCCCATCAAGCACGAAACCTAGGCTGGTTGGCGTCAAAGGCTTTTCCCTCGCTACCATCTCGTGAGTATCCAACGCCTACATGCTTCTTCCAAAGGCGCTCATTTCCGAGAACTTATCGCAGCTCCTTGCTTCTCGAGCAAGCCGATGAGTTACCAAAAATTCGTCTCCGAAGTCTCAACAACCCTTACCCGCGGCAAAACACCTCTTGCAGCTCGTAAATGTCTGGCTCAATTTCCCCTCCAGACCCGCACCGCGAACCAACAACCTCAGCTCCGAAAGGATGAAACCACACATCCCGAATTCCTTCCCTCCGGATCATCCATTTCCCTGCCAGGGCATCCAACTCCCCGCAAAAGCGTCCGATTCCCCGCAAAAGCATCTGATTTCCTGTCACACCATCCGATTCCCTGCTAAAGCACCCGACTCCATGCTACACCATACCCGACTCCCAGCAAAAATCACCCGATTATCCCTCCAAAACCAAGCTTGTCATCACCTGAAGGACGTCTGCAAGACCTCGGCAACCACCAGGTACGGCGCCTTTTCCTTGCTGGGGAGCACTCGGCACAGCTCCCGGCAGAGCCGCAGCACCCTCACGGCACGCGTCGCCGCCGGCTGTCCGGGCTTCAAAACCTTTATCGGCAGGTGTATCGCGTGGTGGGACACCTCCGGACACACCGCCGCCACGTCGTGCTCGTTCAGCCACTCCCGACCGCCGCCGCCGCCGCCCCCGCCCCCGCCTCCTCCTGCCACCGTATCCCCCGGGATCTCGAAGCTCGCCCCCCTGTAATCAAGAGCACCCCAAAGAGTACGTGTTGCCAAGGGCGGGCCGAACCGGTAGAAGTTTCAAAGCATTGTACACCGATGGTAGACAAAAGTCCAGGTATCATCATTCGTCACCGCCACTATGTGAATCTCGATGGCCCCCCAGCCACGGACTTCGGGCTTCGCCGAACGGAAGCAAGTTTCGACCTCCAAGAGGAATATTTCATTTCATACCGAAAATGTGTGGGCAAGAGTTGAATGGGTCGATATACGTATGACACGACCATGTAGTTATACGCCCACCACGTTGCACGTAAGCTCGCACCTGGTCTGCATTCTCCGCAGGAGCATACGGTTTACCCTCCCGAGCTCGTTGTCCAAAGCGCTTAATCGACGCTTGATGGGTAACTTCTTGAGCCTGGCGACACGGGAGAGACACAATGAGGTTCGGCTTGCCTCTCGAAGAGTATCGCATTCTCCACACGGGCGACGATCGGTAATACAGGTGGCCACCGCTAGCAATCGGTAACAAGGTGGTTGCGCCTTACTTTGCATTGAGTGGTAGCGAGATGTCAACGTAGAGTAGTTTTTAAGAACGGCGAGTGCCTTGTTAGCAAACTAAAACATCTCAGAACGCCAACCCAGCGTAAACGTCAACCCATCCACACCGTCACCTACAGCAGCAGCAGCAGCAGCAGCAGCAGCAGCAGCAACAACAACAACAAATACAACAACGACACCACCACCAACATCAACCACTCACGAATCGCCGATGTCCATAAGCGTGTCCACGAAGGCCATCGAGTCGGCGCAATAAGCCCGCCGCTGCATCCTCAGCTGCTCCGGAAGGTTGTCTCCATTCAAGGCAGCTAGAACGTAACTCTGATTCATTCGGCAACCAACAGATGCAGCAGCAGCAGCAGCAGCAGTGCAGGGCGCGCACACAAACCGGAAAGCAAGAAACAGGGAGAACGAAGTCGAACCGATTGTTGGATGCTAGAGAACTTTCCGGAGGTTTGGCCTATACGCTCGTGGCTACCACGTGTCCTAAGCGTCCTCTGCAACAGCACATGCCTAACATACTTTCCTACATGCCGTGTCAAACACCGATCAACAGGCTAGCATACATACAATCGATAGTCACGGCAATACAACCTTTCCCTCACAACATCCCCTGCAAAAACACTAGAACACAGTATCACACAGGGTGTTCCCCTACATTTTTGAAGGCGTTCCAAGATGGCCCATCCTCCTGGGGCCGTCGCCCCACCGCCTCGAACTGCCACATCATCTGGACAGCGAGGCCTATGTTGCCGAAGCACCGCTGCTGCAAGTTCGCCGACAGTCTCCCCACTACTAATTGTGTAATCTGCGACAGCAGTCGATTGCGAAAACGTGGGCGCGGCGCAGCAGTGAGGCATGCATTCGCGACGTTCAGGACAAGAAGCTTGCTGCTGGAACGTTGGTATCCTTGCGTATTGTCGACAACGACGAGCATTGATGTCGCGCGCTCCTCACGTAGGCCATCTTCCAAACGTTCTTGGGCGTGGCCGCTTATGGTCAAGGTATCTGCAAGAACAACCCAGTAGTCATCCCCGTAGACACACACGCAAGGGCTCCGCTGCTATTGCATCGACGCCCCCCGTGCCATGTGTCCTCCCCTCCCACCTGCAACTCCCGGACACCGAAGTACACTCACATGCACGTTCCTAGAAGGAACCCCCTTGGACATCAATACCGCCGCAAGCTGCGGCACAAAAAACTCCACATCACTGTCCTTCCACCTCAGCATGAGCTCCTCAAACGCCGTGAGGTACCTAGCCTCGTGCTTGGGCGGTAACCGGGGTCCCTATTGGTACATAGGTCATAGGTATGCACGGAGCAGCGGAACCACGGGGTGGCGATGACAGCGTGTCAGGGTATTGTTTGGCGGTATATTCCGCGTTTCGATTGCGCACGTACAAGCTGGGTACATGTATAGCGTCTACTTGCGTGTCTCGAGCGTCGAAACGAAGCATGTGTAAGAGATGGGCCTTGATTTTCCGTTCATCAATCGTATCTCCATACGGCAAAATCACAGAAGTATGCCCAAGGTAGAGCTGACTTGCGTCGAGATACGCGGCGACGTCCACGGTCCCGTCACAGTCGGCCATCCAAGGGTCTTCATCTGCCAGGCTGCTAAAATACACTGTACAAGAAAAGTTACTTCACGCAGAGCACACCACGTGCACGTCAGATTCCCCGCTACGACAACATCTTCGGAATACTTTTTGACAATGAGACTTAGCATTTGGAGCCACGGCGTACAAAGTCGGTCATGACGAAGTACTGACTACTGTAGTAGTCACTCTACTGGTGTTGTCAAGTAATCACAGTCATGAAGTCATGCCGCTCGCCGCGTCGCATTATATACGCCAATGCTAGGGCGGCAGCTGCTACAAGTGCACATCCTTCCGTCTCGCAGCAGCTAGTCATCTGCAGGAGTCAGCAGTGTTCGAGATTCGTCTCCCGGCAACATTCGTGTGCTACAACAACGAGACAAAAGTAGTTGGTCGAACGGGCAATGGGTGCTGCCGCGTGTCACGTCAACGACGTCAAACGGATTAACTCGCTTTTCGGAACACACGAATTAGAAAAAAGCAAACCAGTCACACGTGTTCACGTGGGTATTTAAACATTTAAACAACAATAATAGCAACATTGCAAATCTTTGAAGTGGGGGATTGCTGGAGATGTTGGAAGTGGAATTGGGTGGTGGCAGTAGAACAGCAGTACATAATGTAGCACATGTCACCAACGATAACCGCAAGACGAGATGGCATAGACTACATGTTGCCTCGAGTTGATGTTGGGCCGGCCGTCCAACGTTTTTTTCGTGACTCTCGTTGTCGACAAGAACCCGGCAGTGAACCAAGTTCGAGAGCCAACAACAAGGCAGCAGCACAAGAAGCTCTTGCTTCATCTAAGCTGCGTCATCACGGCAACGATCAACCTGCAGGAGAAACGGGTGCTGCTGTGCTACACTGCTGTACTGCTGTAGTCACTCACTCGCGGGAGGAGGTCCGTCGACTCGTAGAAGCCAAGCTGGAAGGTCATCCAGAGGTAAATCCATGCTGCCACAGCATTTCCTGCTTGGATAATCATCCCTCAGGTCGCACCTGGCCGCCGCCACCCACGCCCACAACAAGAAAGATTATCTTCCTTTCTCCTGTACGGCCTTCGGCAGCCGTCGTGACCGTTGCGATAATGTTGGCGGCAGCAGGAGCCGCGCACCAACGCACTCAGCCAGTTGTGGTCATGCAAGGGAAAAGAGGAGGACGAGGGCAGCTTCCCCGCTGCTTTGAAGCCTCACGCTCGATTTTCTACCACGCTGTCGAGAATCCGAAGCACTGGACCTCCTATCTCTATCTCCCCCTCCTCGGGTGCGTGTTGGCAATGGGCCGTGAAGAGAGGGCGACAGAGGAACGGACGGAACGTGATTGCAGATGGGGGAATCGCGAACTACACAAAAGGGATATACACGTTTCATGTTGCTGAACCTGACCTAGCTGCAGACCCCCTGTATTTGTCTGTGCAACTTGTTCTTTGTTCCTGCAACAACCGGTGCAGTGCCGAAGTGCCATCACACGACGACAAGCAGCAGGGGGGTCAAAGATTAGACGACAGCACCCCACATGTCGCCAAAGATCCTCCCGTTGCTGGTGCCGCTGTCGTCGGCGTGGCAGGCACGCGCCTTCGTGACTACTCCTCTGCCGCGCACATCATGTGACTCGCGAGCGCCGCAGGTCAGCAGATTCGGAGCGCCGAAAGGGGCTACTGCAGCTGCTGTTGAGAGTGCTGTGGGGGAGGTGGTGAAGGCGGAAGTATGGCAAGGGTTCAGCGAAGAGGACCACGATCGTTTCCTTGCTGAGTTTTGGCAAAAGAAGCCCCTGCTAATTCGCCAAGCTATCAAAGGGTGAGAGACAGCAGCAGACGCTGTAGAGATATCCATCCTTCGTATGGACATGACGTGGATTGCTTCACCCAATGCCAATGGTCAAGGTGTCACACATGACGGCACATACCGACTCCCGAACAGGCCACCCAAGTGGGAAGCTCGACCGTGCCTTTTGAGGAACCTTGGGTGTTGCTAAGGCTAGCTGGTGGAGGGTACGTGTACAACAACATCTTCTCCCATCTGGTTTGAATCTATAGGTCAGGCACGAAAACGACTCGCCGCATGTCTGGTGCACGTTCGTCTTAGTATTCTCGAAGGGGGGGGGGGGATATTCAACGCGATACGTATGTACGACACTGCTGCTGTTTCTCTCCACCGCTACATATATATTGACATACGCGCCGTCATATGGGTCGGTTGCGCGTGGTATGGTGGCATGGTGGCTTCATTTGGACTAATTTTAGAGTACATTTATCGCCTCGAAGCAAGCGCACACGGGACATTTACTTGAATTTTGAACGCAGAAATAATTTCGAGCGTCAATCGTCCTTGCGTGCGATGCGGTTGCGCTCAAAAGTATGCGTCGGATGCGTTCGTATCCACCCAAATTCTTCTGCTTCAGTTTTCAGTACGCCCCTGAATCAGGGTTCGCCGCGCTTGCTGCTCGGCAGCTGTGCATTGCCTCCTGCGGCAAGTAGATTGTGCCCCATGACAGCCAGGCCTTAAGACCAGTAGTAAGGATGTACTTGCCATGTGGCCTTGCCGCCAACAATTTACATCTCGAGGGCACTGTGAGGTAGTATTCCGTGGGAGATACCGTGGGAAATACCGTGGGAAATACCGTGTGGCTGGGTGGTCGCTGCTGTGGTCTGCAGTGAAGCTGGTGAGGAAAGCAACTACAGCCGCAGCTGAATGAATCATTGCACGCACATATGTTTTTGTGACTCTTAGGCACAAGTGTCTCGGTGCCTAGGCACAACTATCTAGGGCAATAGCGTTCCACTCCCAAAATGATCTCCTCGCACTCTCGCGGCATCACTATAAAGTAACGTGCATTCATCTTCGTCCCAGCCATTCTCATCCGACTCTGGTCGTTGGATGTGTACCCTTGGATACTGCTGTTATACTGCCGCCATCATTGTCGACCTACACCCCGCCTCCGAACGAATGATGCGAGGCCGACGATAAGTGACCACCGTAAGCATCGATTGAGAATCCCCCCCCCTCACCGCCCTTGCATTTGTACCAGTATAGGTTTGAGACTATCCTGACCAAGGACGAGTTGGCGGGGCTATCCTGCTGCCCAGATGTCGAGGCTCGCGTCGTGACGGGAGGGAGATACGTCGACAACGCAGGCAAAGACTGGGAAGTAGAGCACGGCCCGTTCGAAGAGAAGGTGCATTTTTGGATCTGGGACAGCAGTCGCTCACGTGCAACAAGGAGCAATTCCGCGACGTATGCTTACGCTGTTGTGTTATGTTTGAGAGTGGCGAGGGGCCCTAAGGTCATGAGAGCAATAAGTGTACGCAAGAAAGCACACCCCAGTGTTCACATTTTGGCTTGTACAGGTCTCACCCCGTGTGTTGCTGTGGGGGGGGAAATGTCTTCTGTCGCCCTCCTGTTTAGCAGTGGTATTGTGTGGGGGGCTGTTATCTTGGGTAGTATGCAGTTGTTTTCATTGAATGCGCGTGGTTGTGTCAGGTACACGTTTTCCGAGCGTCCACGTTCCAGGGGAGACTGTCTCGATTTTGTGTGTCCTTATGCTGTTTCATTCTCTCTTTTGTCAAGGCCATGGGCGACGTGCCTGCAAACGTGGAATTCTGCGACGACGGCGTTCATGCGTTTTTGGCCGTTTTGGTCGACGCAGCCGGGGTTTATTTTGGTGGTGCAGTTCCTATGTTCGGACTACAGCTCATCCCCGTCTCACCCTTGCCTATCGTTTTGTATTTCGTCGCGAACCTCTAATCCGGTTGTCGGTGTGGTGTTCTCAGATGTTCTCCAACCTTGGCGAGACGCACTGGACTCTGTTGGTGAACGAGGTCAACCGGCACGTGCCTGAGGTGAGCTGATTCGACCGGGATAGGCGAAATGGACTCAAGCCAATGTAGAGCCCTCCTTTTTTTATTTATCGTTTAGAATCCGATAAACTATTTGGGGGGCCATCGCCGGCACCACGACGATTGTGGGGTGACACGTCATTTTGTTGCCACGAAGGATCTACGAATGAATGCGTTATGATCTCAGCACAGACCTTCCAGCAGCGCAGGAGCTTCATGTTTATCTAATATCATGCTTTATTCTGCGTCTGCCATGAAATAGGCACCGCTGTTGTTGATGCATGATGGTACAGCACTTCGTTGTTCAGTCTTTACTGCCAGTACGCTTTCTTCCGCCTGTATCAGTCAGGTGTGTTTATTTTCAGAGAAGGACACGGGCGTGTTCATAACAACTGCCTGGATCAGCAAACAGCGGCGAAGCACCGCGACACACTTCTCTCCCTTTGTCTTCCACGCTCACGCCACATGTGCCGTGATGGTGCCCATTGGTCTGGCAGGTGTCGGACTTACTGATGAAGTTTCAGTTCATTCCGTCGTGGCGGGTAGATGACGTCATGGTCAGCTACGCCCCCAAGGGCGGCTCGGTTGGACCGCACGTGGACAACTACGACGTCTTCCTTCTCCAGGTGACCTTCATTGCCTGCATACACGTACATCGTCTGTCTTGGGGAACGATCATTGATAGCGACGTTTCGTCTGGAGCTTAACACACGACCCGTGATTGTGTCTTGCGCGATCGAGCCTTTGAAAGTTGCGACACAAATATTGACAACATGCATACGACAGTTGCGTCCGCGCAACGACCCGGTGGTCTGCATGCATGAGTGAAACCTCGAAAACCAACTCACCAGTTGCTAGTAGGTCTGGAGTTCGATATTCGACGGAGCGTATGTATTCCCTCGGTTTGTGTTAAACCTTGAAGGGATTTATTTCTTCGCGAGTTCTGTAACTTTGGCGGAAGGACGGCTGAAGACATGTGGCGTTCAAACTTTTGGCCACCTGAAAGGATTGTTTTCTGTGTGTCTTGCCCTGACTGGAGCTCTTGAGTTGGTTTGGGAGCGACGTCACTACGTGGAAAGAAGCAGAAATCAAGAAAGCAAAGTAAAAAGCTACAATGCCCAGCGTTGTGTCGGTTGGATGGATATTTACCATTTCGTTCCGTATCGAAGACATGGCTAACTGAACCTTCAACTGACGGTGTGTTGAGTTCAAAATCTCTCTGTGTTGGTCTGTGTCGGCACTGACGTTTCCAGCTGTTTTTTTTTTCCTGGAGTCTCACGAGGTGTTGATTGGTTTTGATGTTGGTTGTTCCACTGTTGATCCTTCGGGCCTTAAATTCTGCCGAAGCTCAGTTCCAATGTCGTGCAGATTTTTGTAGTGTCGTGATGGATTTTAAATCTGTTGCTGATATTTTCGGTGTTTAATTCGATAAAGTAGTTCTTCCACATTGTTGTTGTGGTGATGCTGCCCCTCCTCCGCAACGAGGGCGCCGGCAAGCGGCTGTGGTCGATCGAGGACTCATTCACTTCGGGCGAGGAGGAAGAGGAGCGGTTAGTCAAAGACATCGACCTTAGGGTCCTGACGGAGTTCAAGAAGTCGGAGGTACGCTCCCATCGCCTGGATCTTTGAACACGCGAAATACACCGAGAAGTGATGCGGGGGCATTGTGGGTCTCGACCCGGGAAGACCGGCCCGCACATTAAACCAGCACACCTCATCCGATTTTTGTGGACCAGTCGAATGAAACCCAAGAGTCACAACGAGAGTTGCAGGATTGTTGTTGGTTGTGGGGTTCAGCTGCTCCTGTCCAAGCCTCCGGCTCCCCTTCGGCACGTCAAACTCTCCCCACCTGTCATGCCCCCTACAGAGCACTCTTATGTGTACCGCTAACGGCAGTTGAGCCGTCTCCCAGGATTTCGTTCTAAGGGTGTATCTCTTTGATGTTCTCTTGGTGAACTCTTTCAATATCTGAATTTTCGTCGAGTATTTGACAGTTTCACTTGGGTCTCTGCTAAACCGAACACGCCTCGCTTGTGCAACCCATCACCGACCGTGGACAGGGATGGGTACTCGAACCCGGAGACGCGCTGTACCTTCCCCCAAGGCTCGCCCACTACGGCGTTAGCCAAGACGAGGTGTGATTCCGTACATGCTCCCGGTTCGGACGTCGGAATGATTGAGATTGTTCGGTTTGGCTTTGGCAGAAGCCTAAGCGTGGTGTCTTGCTTGGCGCAAAACGACGCATGTTTCGTAGCGTGCTCTTGTTTACCCACGCCGGGCGCTTTTCGACCCTTTTTTTTTTCAGGAGTGCATGACTTACTCAGTTGGATTTCGGGCTCCGTCGGTTCGAGACCTCGTATCGTTTTTCGGCGAACACGTGGGCTCGACTGCGACGAAACCGGACGATTTTTTCCAAGACCCTAACCTCAAGAGACAAGAGAGCCACGGTGAGAGGGGGAGGGAGAGAGAAAGACAGAGACAGAGACAGAGAGGCAGAAAGGAGGCCTTGGCGTGGGTGCCTCACGTTTCCAGCCGCGAAAGGCGCTTGGCGAGGCAGTTTGCGTCGAATATGGTTCGGCAGCAAGGGCGGTGGCCTGAGTCGGTCGTGCCCTTGACGCATCCGCAAGCCCTTGGAATATCCGCACGGCGTTTCGGAGAGAGCTCCTCCTTGGCTGCCCGAACAGACCTCCACTTTATTGTTTATCCCCACCCTTTTATAACATGCCTGGGAGCAAAAAAGAAAACCAGAAACAGTTGCCCTGTGCGACCCTGGTTGATACGTCGCACATATCGGTACGCCGAGAGAGATGGGCAGACTGGCGCCAGAATAGATGCGACGAACACTCACACTCATTTGCTTTTGTTGAGACAAAACGCTGTACCTTTGTGAGTCAAGTGTTGTCTTATTGATGCAGCACTGCCCTTTGGCTGGATCACGTGTCAGGTTTGATATCGAGAGAGGCTGTGTCGAAGGCCAAGGGGTTGGTACGGGAAGCTTTGTTGTCGGCGCTCGACGATGACGTCGCGTTCGACAGGTGGTTCGGCGCTCAGGTCACAAGGTGAATTGGCGCTTACGGCACCGTAACGGGTTGTTGCAGCAGCTGTTTTTGATGCTGCTACTGCTGCTGCTGTCACTTTCTATTACTGTGGTTGCTATTGTAGTGCTGGTTGCTATTATAGTGCTGGTGGGTGGTGGTGGTGGTGTTGGCGTTATTCATTGGCAATTATGGGTACTGCTGCTGTTGCTGCGCATTCCGCTGGATCTATTGCTGCAGATGTTGGTGTCCCCGTGCCCCCTCTTGATGTGCAGTCTACCCTATTTCGGTACTTGACCCCCCCACCAACAGCCTAGCAACCGTTCTGTCCAGCACGTCCGTAGACTACACAGAAGAAACGACCGCAGCCATAGGCCACGGTCGCACGAGGCAGACACAATAAGCGCATCAGATGACAGACAAACACCCATTTTGAGCATGTCCGCCCCCGTCCACCCCCAAGGTCGCGACGAGACCACTCTAGCTATCCGGTGCCAATGGACGACGAACAAGGCCTGTCCTTTGGCTACCAATTCCCCAAGGACGTGACGGCCGCTGTGAAACGAGCGTTCCACAAGGAGGCTGAATCAGGGGCTGGGGCGGGGAGCGGGGACGGGTTGGGGCCGTTCGTGTACCACGCGGAGGGGCTGACGTTTGCCTTTGTCGAGCACGAGGGGCGGGGACAAGGTGAGGACGGCGATAACGTGCTGATAGAGGTGGTGAGCTGCGGCGGAGTTTTTTTCCCGACAGCAGTAACGAGGAAGCAATCGTAGGTTAAGCGGGAACACGCGTAATGATGCGCAGCATCAGCAGCAGCCTTGTATCACCTCTGTAACATAACCCAAAGGCAGCCATTAATCTGCATGTTTCGCCCGGGAAGAAAGGCTCTGCTGATTGATCGAGCCGTGTTGCACGCTTCCCCTGCGAAACCGTCACAGGTGCTACTCTCTTCGTAGACGGCACCGACTTCCCGGTGCCGCAAGAGATGGCTTTCGCGGCGGCGTTGGTGTGTGACTCTCAGCGCTTGTCACCTCGGGAGCTGGGGCCGGCGCTGTTGGGGGAGCAGGGCGAGGGGGTGGAGACTCTGCTGCACTCGCTCTTGAAAGAGGGTTACCTTTACCCTGCAGACGACTGATGATCTGGTCTTCCGTGTACCGCTAGACTCCAAGTTGTGTTTCTTTTGTTGTGACGTGTCTCCCTTTGCTTCGTTTTTTGGTATCATTGCATAGCGGCGTCGCTGACCGAAAGATCTCCGGCGACGCTTCATTATTGCTTCGTTGTTTGTTCAAGTTTATGGAATGGGACTCGAGGTGAAATTGTCTAAATGAATCTGCGAGCATCTTCTTTTGCGTGTCGTCTCAACATTCTGTGCGTTTTTGGAAGCTGCCGACTACCGTGTAGGTGTGCCACAAGAATTTGTGTGGTTTTACCGCTCCGTCTTGTGAGCACCGAGGGGAGCGGGGGTTGACCGAGGTAGTGTGGCGTGTGCAAATGGAATACTCTACATGGAATTATTAGCAGGGTGGGACCGAAAACCCGTCTATCTATAGTCGACGAGGGAGAGTGCGATAGGGGTGCACCCCACAGTTTTGAAAGAGAACAATACGGGCGTACCATGCTACAGTGGTCCGTTGCACTCTAGTCTCCCTCCGGAAGAGAGACATGGCATGAAATTGACACAAGCGTGAACGATAACATCCCGTTTCGACTACCGGTATGTCCCGGATGGGTGGCTTCTGTGTTTGCATGAATAGCGTGCATCCATCGGGTACTCAATCTCAAGATACTGTTGTTCGTGAGGGGGTATCGCCTTCTTTCTTCTTTCTAGATTCCGCGCCCCTGCCAGCCCATTATAGTCTACTGGTTTGACGCTGCAGTACCTTGTTTCGCGTACTGTTGGTTCGGGTCACCCTTCACAAGCAGAGTTAATCCACCTGTTGCCAATACGGAACTACAGTGCTTCCTTCTCTGGATAATGGGAGGATGTGAAAACGATGTGGACCCATTTGTCGGTTCACTACTGGTTGGTCGAAGGTGGTGTTCCAACGAACAACACACAATGACCAAGTCAAAGCGGAGTCTGCGGGTCGATGTCGCAAAGTTCTCAACCCAAAAACTCGATGATTATTCACACGCTGTTTAGTTGACCGAATACCGGTTTGCTTGAGACTTGCGAGAACCTCGCTACTCTAAACCCGAATCCGCTACAAAAGTAGTGATTAGTGATATTAATTGCTGTAGGCTGTAGGCTGCAGGCCGGCAGCGGGCGATAACATGTGGTTCGTGGCCGTTACGTACCCGTTCGGGAAGATTGGGTACGTTTTCCCGCCGCACCTGGTTGTTTTTGGTTAGGAGTACTGCTGTACTCAAAAAGCACAGCGGCACCCGGCGCTCGTTCCCCACACATGGCTGCCGGTAGTACCAAAGGTTCTATTCTCCGCCGGCCTGATGTTTTGCCGGCGTATTTGTACGGGCCTGGACATAACAGCCTTACGTATGGCCTGGAGCTCGACGACGCCAGCGGGACGCCTTGCCGATACCAGGACCAGATCCTCAAGAACGAGATCAACAGGTACAATGCTGTACGTCGACTGACCATACGCGGCTCACGCAAAAGTTGTGTCTATGCTCCAAACCCGAATCATATGTTGCTGCTGTAAACAATAGCTCTTGTTCATTGCCAGAACATCGAGTCCTGCGATTGTGTGATCGCACCAAAACTTCTGTAGAGATGCGTAGACAACACAAGATCTGTGGAAATAAACGTCACCCAGATAGATGCCATGCATGTCCCCCTTGCAATTGCATCACTCGGATAAAAATATGTGTTCGGCTGATCGCCAAGTTCTCAGCGCCAACGGTATATGCGTCGTCCCCCGCCATTGCTAACATCAAGCGTATGAATACACGAACACAACAACAGGGCAAACTCCACGGAGGTGCGACAGAAATTCGCAGAGGCGACTTCGGACACGGTCCGCCAGTGGCTCAACGAGAAAGGAGCAGCGCACGCTGCTGCCGCCTATCGCTGCAAGTTCAATGCCAAGAAGCGTCTATACAGAGAGCAGGAGCTCGTGGTGAGTCGCGACAGCTCTATCGAAGAGCAGTTGGGAGGCCCTGGAGAGAAGGTACGTGTAGTCTACACAAACAAGTCCGCTTCAACAGGCAGCAGAATACGTGATGACTGTCACGGTAAAAGATCAACGTTCCATATCGGGTGGAAATACGTTCGTGTTTCAAAGCTCTCCCTGTTACTGCTGCAATATGTAGGGGGCGCCTTCTCGTTTGGTACCGAAGTGAAGCGTCAGTGATGCTGCTGCTGTGTTATCACATTTCTGTGTGTCAACTGGAATTAATAGTACTAGCGTAGTGGAGGGTCTCATTCCCGAACAACGCAGAACGAAAGTAGACCCCTTTTACTGCAGGTGCATCTTCCCATGACACCGGATATCAGGCTGAGTGCCGACCGAACGTGCTGGGGTAGGTGTCTTCATGGGTGTATCTGACTATGGCTGTACCCAACCGCACTCAGATTCGTGCCTATCCTACAGAGACAGTTTGCTCAGTCGACCAACAGGTGCTAAGGTTGGAAACGGCACAGCTGGGTGCATTGGCACACCCACGTACCGGCCTACTAAGTATGTAGTCTGAGGAAACGTTATGTTCATCCTCCGCTGGCTCCGTCTTTCAGGGCGCGTTCAATGCGTACGCTGCGCGCACCCAGTACAAGGGTAAGCGGAAGTTCCAAGCACGATGGAAGGCTCTCTTTGCCCTTCGAACGCTCATGGAAAGCAAAGGCGACAGGCCGCTTGGGGCCCCTCCCATCCGTCTGGCCGGAGGAGACAGGTATGTCGTTGTCGATGTTGAATCAAAAAGTCTGGGGAAGAGGGCTTGTAGTCTGTGCATTTGGGCTGTTTTGATCTTTACGCGGAACCGCTAATTTTGAGCGAGGAACTGACCAAAGTCAGCATGATCTATATATAGTGTCAGGACACGTGTGTTGCCGACCGGCAGTCCGTGATGGATGTGCAACCCGCATGTCGATCGGGGACTCAATCCATGCTCGTCGATCAGCTGGTTCCGCCGCGGTCCATCTGCGAAGTGCTTGTTTGGCAGTTGATCGTTCAAACGACAAATACCCAACGTATCGCTACGGTTGTATGCTGACCTACATAGTTTTCGGCTCCATGTGCTTGATACTATGTAAACCCACATCGCTCGGTACGCGTAGTGCCTTGTACGAGCAGATGTTCAGAGCGGAGCCCCGGAAACACGTGTCTCGGCCAACTTTCTTGACGGTGATGCGAAGGGTGTACGGCTTTCAGACCGCGCCCCTTGCGGGCCACGTCGATAAGGCTGCCCTCCAGAAGCTCGGCGAGGTGTGTTGATTTCAGTTCGGTGGCACACACCGGGATTCTCGGAATAGCTTAGAAGTTGTCCTTCACAGGGAGAAGCCGCAGTAAGACCGAGGACCAACTCGAGTACCGTCGCTGATGTCTGTTGAAGCCACGGCCCTGCAGCTAATGACTGAGGTTTTGTTTCAGAAAATGTGTCCAATTTTCCAATCACGCCCATTCTCAAGCTAGTGATGTGCCGCCACCCACGACTGTAGTCTTCGAAGCCATTCCACCGAAATGTGCACAAGACTGGTAGGATGCCCTAGAAAGCCCAGCTGGTTTCGTTCGACGTTGCTGAAAAATACGGCGCTGGTGGTGCTGTTGTCTCCCTGTAGATGATACACCGCCAGTGCTTACAGCGGAAGCCCTTTTGTTTTTTCTCCCATCATTGGACTCTGTCATCTGCCCCTCTGGCCCCTATCCTCCACGTCTACCAGCTAGACGACCCCACCGGGGTCACATAGGAGGGGAGGGTTGGACCCCCTCCTGCCGTACCTGCCTGAGATTTTTATATCGCGAGAAGGGTACCGCAATCCCTTCCCTCGCGACTTAGAAGTCGATCAAGTTTACTAACAACGAGCTTTGCAGCGCGTCGCCTCCAACGGAGACCAGGATTTCATTAGCGAGACAAGACTCACTCTGTCGGGACTCGAACCCATGACCTGGCCCTTAGGCTGCGAGGCTACCCACTATACCACCGGGGCGACCGGTGACTGTTCTATGTGGTTGGTGTATCTTGCCAACGGCTAGAAGAAACGGCTAGCAGCAACGGCCAGCAGCAACGGCTAGTGGCAGCAACAACAGCAGCACCAACAACAGGTTTACTTTTCGCGAACGACGATGCTACTGTTTTGCCCATTCGACTGCTTGCTTTTCCTTTTCAACCCGATATTCCTTCTCGAAGGGACTGCAATGACTCCAAGAAATTCATTGCGGAACCAAGGACTAAAACATCAAAGCCATTTGTTGTGACCACAACAGGTGTACAGCACCTTTGATGCGGACGGAGTAGGCAAGGTGGACTGGAGATGCATGGTCTTCATGCTCAGGGTGACTGTGAACGCACAGGTACGTATTCAAAGGCTCACGCAGGTCGCCTCAAGCGGTAAGCGCGAAAACGTCCGAGGCAGACGTTGGGTAACCTGCGTTGCTCCGCTCGCGCGCGTCGAAACACAACGGTCACCTGACTTGCATAGAACGTACAGGCCCTGGCCTCGTTTTTTTTCTGACGAACCGCAGATCGCCGACAGCAACTCGAATCCCATCACAGCCAGACGGGAGGGCTTCGTACCTCTGTCTTGTTTTTCGAAGAAACGTACTTTCGGTTACTATTCCCCACATTTTTTCTGAGCATTTGGCATTCCCGCATAGCACGCACCACTGTTTGGCTACCCCCACGAAGATTGCGGACTGCGTTCCTGCGTTTCTGCCTCATGAATGATACGTGTGCAGTCTACGGTGGAGGAAAATCTCAAATGGGGGTTCGCCCTTTATTCGAGCCCGGGCAGCTTCGACCCTGAGAGCGACGACCCAGTTTCGATGTCCGACTTCAAGAACCTCGTCAACACCATGGCCAGGTAGATTCTTGGCGAAGTTCGTCCAACGCCGCATGCAACATTCCTTTGCAGAACGTCGTACGCAGTATCCCTTGGCAGAACGTCGTACGAACTCCGGGGGTGTTCTTGTGGCGAGGCGGGATGATGTACAAGGCGACTCTCTCGTTGCGGCCAGGTGGTGTTTTGTCAGAGGTATATCTCCGACGGGAAGCCACGCCTTGCAATCCTATTATCGTTTAATATTCGAGGCGACGCAGCACCGTTCTTTTGTAGGTCATGGACGACATTGAGATGGCCAATTTGCCAAGCTAGGTGTGTACGAGATATGGGCTACTTCCCGCTAAAGAGTGTTGAAATAGCGGACACGCACATTCAATCCACCGACGTTTCAGTACGCCGAAGAGGGCATCAAGTCGCAGCTAGCTGTAAAGGATAGGTTTGTGCGACAGCGCTTGGAACAGACGGACGGAGATTGCGACTGGCTGAAACCTGTCGCCGCGTCTATGGTCGCGCTCTCTCTCTTACTCGTTCACTCTTGAGTCTCAATCTCGGGGAGGTGAGAACCATTGATGGCCAGCCTGAGCGATTGCTTGTCCGATCGTGTTCACACCAGATTCGAGAAGCGGGAAGAGCTGAATCGAATTTTGGACGAGGCGTGGGAAGCGGTAGCCTCGGAGGACAATGAGGCGGGACGCAGGGCGGGGGCCGGGCGGGGGGTTGGGGAGGGGGCCAAGGCACCCAAGCCGTTAGAGGTTAGTGGGTACAGCACCGGCCAGCTATAGCACTAGGAAACGTCGTCAGTTTCCCTTCGGGGAGCGGTTTCTGATTTCGTTGCCACAGTCGAGCACAGAGTACTTTATGTCGTGTAGGATCCACCGCCGAGCTGTGTTGACGGACCCTATTTTCGTATTGTTCGGGTGATTTTGAGCCCGTCTTGGCAGAATCTGTCATACTACGGGCCGGAACTGCTGTAGCCGTGAGGTGAACGTCAGGTTTTCTGCGGTGTTCATGAGTTTGGCTTCCATGCTAGACTCATAGGCCCTTCCCTTGAATTCTCCTTTCTCTCGCGTGCTCCTTCTACCCAGCAGCAAAGATGAAAAACCTCGATGCGTTCATCCCGACAAGTACGTGGGAGTGCAACCGCCCCCGGATGGCTGTACCCAACGCGTTTCATGTTGTTCCAGCGGTGGAACGGTTATCGCTGGCACGCAACCAGGGTGCATCATTCGACCCAGATCGATGAACGCATATCGCTTAACTTTGCCACACAACGACGATGTGCTGTCTGAGCCAGATCACCATGAGGCTGCTAGGTCTGATGCTGCAGAAGCGACCCCTGAAGGACTTGCTAAGACCCGCGTCGCGCTTCGGCCTCCGAGACAGAGGGACTTGGACGTACGCGATAGAGGAGGCGTTTTTCGACCCGCTGCTGCTGGCCTTGATCATGCAGAAGCGGAGGGACCAGAGAAACGACGGTGTCACGGCAATGTGAGTTGCCCCGTGTGGAGAGGGAGACCGGCCGTCCAATCGCGAAGGATCACAACCCCCTCCCATTTCTCCTTTCACGATCTACATCGCCCCTCCTGTTCAACGGCCGACTGTTGTGACGCTGCCCAATGGGTTCAATCGCCTCGAAAATACACCGAATTGATGGAAAGTTTGGCCGCCCCCCGCCGGCCCACCCTTCTCCCCGGTGTTTACCATCGGGGTTGGGTTTCCGCCGCTTGGCAACGACGTTGTAAAACAAGCCAATTCACTTCGTGAACTCGGCAACCAGGTTGCCGGGTTGTTTTTTCACCTCCGGTTTTGTTTTTTGGCGGTAACCATAATGGTGGTCGAGTAGATCATGTTGTGCGGGGTGGAGAACCCTCACTCCGCGCAAGGGGGATGATCGCACCACGTTGTGTTAAAATGGTCAAGCACCCTCGAGGCAGTTACACAGTGCTTACAACTGTCTCTGGAAGTGAAAGCACCAGAAAATAAGTTAATTCATACGCAGCTGTCATCCGTACGCAAGGAAGTAAGCACAAGATGCCGAACACCCTTAGCAGGATGCAGCGCACCCTTCATGCGACTCGCCGAATATCTCACGGCGCTTCGCGCTTGGTGATGTAAGTGCCTGGTCCGGTGAGAATCCGGCGTGCTCCGTCCCGGCTTTGTATGGATGCGAGGTCAATGGTCTAACGACGACGGCATGCACAACTATGAGTATGAGTACACCCCCACCCGCCGGCCCACCCCTTTCCCTCCAGTATGCGATGCACCCCATCATAAGCTCGATTTGGCTGGTATTTGTTCTTGTAGAGCTTTGAGGCGTGGGACGCATTGCCGATTCAGATCATCAAACCATGGCACTACGTACAGCACAGGTCGTGATATTGCTATGCTCAATGTCACCGCTTGTACTCGAATGACGGCCAACGACGTGATTTCCGAATATCGGTGACGCGGTAGATTCTTGGGCAACAAGCGTCGGAGAGCCATTCTAGTGAGAATTGCAATGTGGAAGCGCTTGGTCAGGCGAAGGAAGCACTGCGCCAGGCTCATGGCGAGCATCGGGGGGAGGTTCTTCAAGGGAAACAGCTCCTCCGCCTTCCGAGCCATCCAGCGGTAACTGCCCACCTTCCGATGGGCGATTTCGGCCCACGGTACTTTCTTTTAATAGACGACTTGGCAGCAGATCGACGAGTCCATTGAGGCTGTGGGCAAAGATTTTTTCCCAACACGTACACCATGACGTGTAGAATCATGATCTTGTTGGCCTTGCCTACGAGAATATCCAGTCAAGCGTTTGGGCGTAGCCGCCGTGGGGGTGCCTGGTTCAAGCTTCATGCCTCTGCGAACCGCACAAATCGATAGGCATGCCAAGTGGTTTGTGTCAACAACGACGCACAGGCACGCAGGATGTGATGCCCCTCGCTACCATGCATCATCTCCCCATACACGTTCCGGGCCTGGTCCGGTGAGAACCCGGTGTGCTCCGTCCCGGCTTCGTAGAGATGCGAGGTCAATGGTCTAACGACTACGGCACGCACGACTATGAGTACACCCCCCCCCATCTCTTGGCTCCTGCTGCCGCTACCCTCCAAACAACGGCCCTGGTGTCTACTGTTTTGTCCACCGCTTGGATGGCCGACGGCGATGCACGGGATGTGGTGGGGTGGTGGGGTGATATCAGGCGTGCGATCGCGTGCAAGGCGTGCGAAACTATCCAAAGAGTGTACAGAGGGTACCTCGCGAGACTAGTGGCGGGGTTTCTTCGTGTGCTGGTGCGGAGGGTCATCGCAGCTCAGGTGAGTCTCGTTGCCGATGTTGTTGTTGTTGTTGCTATTGCTGTTGTTGTTGTTGTTGTTGTTGTTGTTGATGTTGTTGTCGTTGTTGTTGTTGTTGTTGTTGTTGTTGTTGTTGTTGTTGTTTCCATTCCCAATGTTAATATCGGTTGTTGACTTGGGCATTTGTACGGATAACTGAAATGTTGATGTCCGTTGCCTTGCGTGTGCAGGCAGAGAAGAGGAAAAAACACCGATGTACTTATGCTCTGGGCCAGGATCATTTAATGCAACTGTTGGATTTTGGATGAAGCCTCCAGCGCGAAAGAAATATGTTGCTCTTGTTGTTGCGCTGTACTCCGGAAAGGCGCCTTCGTAGAGTGTGAAGACACCGATGCTGCGTCCCAGAAGCGGACCCGCTCCAACGCCCACCGCCTCCACCCACCCCTCGCGTGTGTGTCCGGAACAGGCCGTCTACCGGGGGGTACGGCAGAGGAGAAGGTTCGTGAGCTGGATGCGCACCAAGCACCTCTCCGCCACCTGTGTCCAGAGGTTCTTCCGCGGGGCTCTTGGCAGAAAGAGGGCGAGATGCATGCTGCAGGCGAGTTTGGTCCTGCTCACTCCAGCTGAACCCTTACGCCTCGAGAGTGATTGCACCACCCGTGTCCAAGCACAATTTTAGGGTATGCATATATACGGGTGGCACGCAAGCGGATCGCCTACCTGCTCCGGTAGTTTTTGGTGTGCTCCAATCAAAGCTTTACCGAGCAAAAGCGATTTGCACGGCACGCAAAAAAGGGTCAGTGTTATCGCCAACATTTGTGTGGTTGTGGTCCGCAAACGAAGACAATAGTGAGTCCGAGATGCGGTTCAATTATTAGGTTGGGTGTGCACAAGGGAAACAAAAGCGCGCCTCCGTTTATTTTGCTCTACACCCAGACCAAGAATCGGAGGTTTGGGCAAGGTCGCCAGGCCTGTTGACATGTCCATGTTTTCCACCTTTGAGGTCTGACTGTTTCTTCAAACGTGCGTGTCGTTTACCGTTGATTGTCCCGCTCCCCTCTGTTTCGACCGGCAGTATACGTGCTGAGCGCAGAGATAGCACCACAGTGTGCGTGCGCGCGTGATGGGTGTTTTTGTTTCATCCTACCTGCTCTGGCGGCCGCCTGCACCATTCGGATCTATGCATCCTGCAATACACCTTTCCGTATATACAGCCTAAACCTTTCGGTACGTACAGCCTGCACGTTTGGGAATAAACATCCTGGTGCGACCAAAACCGTTCTTGTCTTTCAAGAATTATCGCGCGAAGGGTGTTAACTCTCCGATCAGTTCTACGTCGTTACGGCGGTGCTCTCGTGCCGCAGGAGTACTTCGACCGAGAGATGGCCGTCATCGACGCTGAAGTGGAGAGGTAAGCCGGGCAGGACTATCAGTGACGCGGTGCAACGGCCTGAAAGGGCTTGCTTTGTATTCCTCGGGGAGACTAATGCGGTGCAGTTTTCTCTGCCGTGCAAAATCGTGCTAACTATTTCCATTTCCTCATCCCCAAACGGAGGGGTCAAACAATGCAACGGTAAGGAAAGCACATGTAAGATGAAGTTCCCTGGACAGTACAAACTGTACACGACGCATCTAGCGGAACGCACGATGGCGGTGGCTCATAGAACAGTGCGATAGACTCTGCCCTGTGCCTTTGTGTCATCGGACGCGGGGGAGGAGATACCATCATCTTCATAATTTAATGCCCAAACGAGGAGGGAACAGTGCAGAAAAACAGTAGTTACAAGAGTGATTTGATGCTCCGTGGAAAGTACGAGCTGAGAAAGACGAATCTAGTGGAACACAATATTGTTGTTCACACAGATTTAGCAGTGCGTATCCTGCGTTCTCCGACTAATAAAGATAGTTTGCTGTGAAAAGTGACGACGAAGTTGGTCGCCCACAACCCCTTCACGACCGTTGAATGACGCCACTGTATGAACGTGATTCACCCTACCGTATCATATTTTTGTTCACTCTTCATACCTATGATTCACTCTTTCTGTTCGTGATTCGCCGGCAGGGTGGAGTACCGCAGCCGGCAGAAGGCGGCCAGCAAGCTGCAGAGGCTGTGGAGAGCCAGGAGAGAGCGAAGACGACGGGAGGCTGAGAAACTAAGGATGATAAAGATTCATGAGGTTAGGCGTGTACCAGTAGAGGTGTGCACTCATGTAGACAAATGCCGTAGTTGTCGGGTGATTGGTCTCGCATCTGGGACGGAGCGAGATGCCCTTTTTCTGCCGGCCCAGGCTACGTGTCACGAATAGTGAACCAGAAGCTGGCAATCATTCGGGGGTGGATTGGGTAACGCCCCAGACCAGAACCCTTTGCTTGCCTCGGGAGATCACATGTCCAGTACCGAATGTGTCCTTCCAGATAGAGAAAAGACGGAGTAGGGTACTGGTTATCTCCGCTTCTGCGCGTTCCCTTCGAATTGGGCTCGAAAATGTCAGCGCATGATCTTGCCTTGGTGTTGTTTCACGGGTTTCATACACCGCGCGTGTGAAAAGTTCGCGAACAATGGACGAGCCTCGCCGCTTTTGTCGTGTGCTGCAAAACACTAATCTATTTGTGAACATTTCGACCACACATCAAGACAAAACTTCGAAAGAAACAAAGTTGTACCATTGATGTTTGTAGGCGTCGTTTGTTATGAGTTTGCGTCCATCCGCCCATCTACACACATATGTAGGTGGAGGCTGAGATGCAACAGCTGCTGAGCCGCGAAGCAAGGGAGGCAGAGGTCTACAAGCGGGAGCTGATGGCGTGGTTCAAGGAGCAGAAGAAGGAGCAGGAGCAGTCCACCATGCTCGAGGAGCACACTGCTAAAGAAAAGTTTAAGGTGCGGCAACAACAACAACAACAACAACAACAACAACAACAGTGCTATTGTGGGGGTAATCAGTTTGTACTTACTTTGAGAGGTGCACATCACCAATGAAAGGGCGAGTGAAAACGTGTCCAGCAAGGAAACTATATATGTAAATGGCAATGCATCAGAAACGATATACTCTGTTGTTTTCAAGAAGAATGATTCCCAACCGGAATTATCCCAACCAGAATCACAGCAGTATGTCTAAATGTGTTTTGTCGCATGCCTTGTTTTCGCCCTCTCTACGAGCCAGCCAGCCACCCCCCTCTCCCCTGTCGCCGGCTCTTTAGATCCTTTGCTACCGGCGCCGCGAGCGTGATAGAGTTGCCGCCGAGACAAGAAGGAGGAAACAGGCCGCCGCCGAACGGGTGAGTGTTTCAACGGACGCGTTGCTTGAAAAATATATTTTGCGGGGTATGGTGACGGCCATGGTATAGCGTCCGTACGGGAGAGTTTTTTCGCGCCAAGGAATGTTGAGCTTGGTGGCGGTACACCTGGACCATAACGCGTGCGACAACGGTAGAGAAACGTTTCCGCCGTACAAGCCATGCTGAAGGAGATGGCGAGGGTGAGTGGATGTCTCACCTTCCAACTGCTGCGTCGCTGTTACTTGTTCCCGCTCTTTTTTCGCTGATTCTGGAGGCGTCGCCAAGCAACCCCCCTCTTGACAAATAGTGGCCCTTTCCCCCGCCTCACTGTCTGGATGCCGCCCCCGTCTATCCCCCGCCCCTCGACGATAGGAAGGAATAGCACAATCAGCACAGTCACTCCTCTGTCGCAATCAATTCACTCGCCGTTTTCGTGTACGGCAATCGGTTCACTCATCGCTTTCTTGTACACCCTGTGCTATCCCATCCCTCCGGACCGCTTCGTACGCACAAATCGATGGAGAACTATGGCATGAAGAAGTAGGCCGCCTACCACAGGCAACAATATGTATGGGGCGACGCACTGATTGTGAATGAGTTCTGTGGCATTTTTGGACACCTAACGCAACGCTTTCTTCCGCTAAAAGGTTGTGCGTTGAATTTGTAAGAGTTAAACGTGCCGACGGCCATGTATGCCGTGTCCCTATCGTCATTCCTTATGTTTCGGCCTGGTCAGTTTGAGGAGCAACGCGTGGAGCAGTGGCAGATAGAGTGGGCAGAGAAGGGAGAGACGAGGGCCATCGCCCACCGCAAGATGCTCGAGGCTGTCCTCGCACATCCTGACAACGAGCCGGAGAAGGCTCTCCAGAAGACTCTCAAGGTAACGAACAACCAACTTGGCACTGCTGTCTGGCCAGAGCTCAGGCCCATCGCGCTGCAGCAAATGTCGTTCTCTACGGCTCAGGCGGGGTCGAGGGGAAGCATAGTCGATTGTGGTGCTTCAGGCGACGGACAGCTCAAGAAGAAGAACCACGAGCGCGCCAGCGTACTCAGTACCACCCGCTACGTATTTCATGTCCAGCCAACTGCACCCAAGCGCCCGACAAGGTAATGTTTTTTGGGGGTAAAAATGACAAGCCATGAAAGTTGAACAAAGTTTTGAAACCTTTGCATTTTCAGGCGGAAATCGAGGCGCAGAAAAAGGTTGTGCTGAAGATGGCCGACGACGCGGAGGCTGATCTTGAGGCCCCCGAGGCCTTGGACATCGCCAAGGAAGACATCTTGCTGTCCAAGATGGACCAAGAGAGAGAGCGGTATGCTTCCCGGAATGTCTGTTGTGTGGTGTGCTCTCAGTTGCGCACGTCAAATGCCGGGTTTACGCCTACCTGGTATATAGTATGGTGAGGGAGGGAGGTATTCTTGCCTCCGTGTCAGGGGTGACAACAGGTACCCATGGTTGTGAAAGAATCCCTACCCATGGTTGTAATACACTCCGAAACGCAAAAAGGGTGACGTCACCACGAAGGAGTGCTACGCGACGTAGGGTACTTTGGATGTACTTCGCTTAATTCTTGGTCCTAGAAGTTTTGTTTTTTGTTTGTTTTTCTCCCATCATTGGACTCTGTCGTCTGCCCCTCTGGCCCCTATCCTCCACTTCTACTAGCTAGACGACCCAACCGGGGTCACATAGGAGGGGGGGGTTGGACCCCCTCCTGCGGTTCATGCCTGACGTATTTTTTTCGCGAGAAGGGTACAGCAATCCCTTCCCTCGCGACTTACGAAGTCGATTATGGTTTACTAACAACCGAGCTTTGCAGCGCGTCGCTTTCATCCTAGACCAGGATTTATTTAGTGAGAAAAAAACTCTCGTTGCCGGGACTCGAACCCATGACTTGGTCCTGAGCAGGCTGCGAGGCTACCCACTAGACCACCGGGGCGACCGGATTGAAGTGCACCTCGTTGTTGGTTATCTCGTCCAGCATCACGACATGAGGAAAAAGCGTGTTCTTCCATTGAAAATCCTCCCCCGTCTCGGTGGCATGATCAAATGTATTCTGTGACTGGCGGGCTCACATCGGTTGATACCGAGCTGGATGTCGACTGTTTGAGCTTGCCTGCTTGACCAGACGCGAAGATTAACCCAACTAAATAGTGAATGCCTTCTAGTCGCGATACATACGAGTGACTGACTACATGTTCCTGGAGCCACTGACCGGCAAATGTCCTACGTCGGTTGAACAAGCCGTTACGTTCGGGCATGCCCTACTGCAGCTATACGCTATCTCCCAAAAAGATATTTTACTTCTGGGGTTTTCAACGGCGATGGACGCAATAGACGGCGACCAAGCACATGAGGGAAGAAACACGTTTGATGCGATTTCGATTCAACGAAGTGAACCGTGTTCGCTACTTCCCACGAAGCGCATCCTGTCATCTTGATTGGCATCATGCCGTGTAGAGGCACACACTGTCGCACTCATTTCTTACAGCTGGTGTGGCTTTTGTTGCCTGCGACAAACGGTGTGGCCGCGTCGTCTAGAGTGAACCAAGAGATGAAGGCGGCAGCGGCCAAGTTCCTGGCGGAAGAGGCGAGGGTCAAGGCGGACAAGGAGGAGAAGATGACGAAGTTCAGGGGTTCAGCCTGTGATGCCGCGGCAAGGACAATACAGCAGATGTACTACGTCTTCAGTGTGAGTATGCTGTTGTTTCAGAGTCACGAAATATGATAGAGTTGTGGTTGCTATGTAGACTAGTCTTCAAGTCGTTGAAACTTGTGCCTTCAGCGAGTACGCATGGTACTGTACAATAGTATCAAGATTTTACCACACCGATTGTTTTTTTTCTTTGTAGCGCTCAAGGAGTCGACACAGCCTAAAACAAAGCCATGCACGTGGGGTGGTAGGCACCGCCGTCGACCTCGTACTTCCATCCCAGTTTTGTGCCCACTTGCCACAAACGACCTACTGCAATACTTCTTCGTCATTCTTCTGCGGTCGTCTTGGTCGCTCAGCGTGATTCGGCGATTCGCCACAACTGCCCGTTCGCTGTGTGAGACCAAAATTCATAGTATATCGTGTTCGCTCGCAGCTCGTAAGCCACCTAACCACCAGGAAATCAAAGTACAACGCGAGACCCAAATATTGTGATTCTCTTTGTGATTTACGACGTTGCCTCTCTTCGTGGTTCGCCTTGCTTTCCTTCGTGATGCACATCTCGCGATGTCACTACACCATCGGTCTCATTATGATTTCCAATGCGTCGGTGTGATTCATGATGCTTTTGTTTGAGGTGTTACGATGCTTCTCTCCGTGATCACGATGCATGTATATATCATTAACAATTTTTGGTCCTGCGATTCACTATGCTTTATCTTTGTGGCCTCTGTTGGTGATTCACCATGCATCTCTTGGGGATTTTGCGATAGTTCTCTCGGTGATCACGATACTCCTGTTTGTGATGTGATTCCCAATTCTTTTTCTGTGATTCACTGGATCATCTTCGAAGTGTGACTGATGGTGTTCTCTCAAATTTCCATTGGGCATCGTTTCGTGAGGTCACTAGTTTCACTTTGTGATTCACATTTTGTTGCTTCGTAGGTAATAATGCTTTCCTTTGGTGTATCAGGGTGCTTTTATTGTATTTCACTGAGACTCTCTGTTGTGATTCGACATTCCTCTCTTCACAACGTGTTCCTAAAATATTGATTATACTTCTTTTGATATTTCAATTTCATTTTTCCTGTGATCACAATGCTCCACTTTTGTGATTGCCCATTCTTTCTATAATTCACTCTGCTCCTCATTGTGACTTGGAGCCATTCTCTCTGTGATTAATGATACGATTCTTTGTGACTTCACTATCCAATATTTTGTGATTCCTGAGGCTTCTCATGGTGGTTCACGATGCCTTTCATTGTGATCGACGTGTTTCTCTCCGTGGCACACTATGCATTTCTTTGCGATTCACAATTGCTTATCATTTTCTGAGGCATGATTCTTCGCATTGCCATGCACTACAACTCTGTTGGCGATTCACGATGCTTCTCTATTGTGGTCTATGGTGCTCACCATCATTCACGATGTTTCTTCGTGATTTCGGCGCTTGTCATTGACATCACTCTGCGTCTTTTTGTGATAAACGGCGCCTCCGTTTTGGCTCCAGGCTACACGCATCACCCAGAAGAGGGCGAAGGAGGTCTACACCAAGCACTTCGACTCCGAAAACCTGGCCTTCTACTGGCACAACACGCTCATTGACACCTATCTGTGGAAGAAGCCAACTGGACTCGGGGGCTGGGACGTTGACCCTGAAGACCGAGTAAGAGGAAAATGACGGAGGGTGGCGTTAGGGGGAGGATTGGTTATTGTCGACTGTATGAAGAGCCACACGAGAGCTTGTCTTCCTCCAATCACGAAGCGCAAGCTTCGACTGTGTGAAGCTGGGCTGTTCAGAAGCAGTCCTTGAACAAGGGCGTGTCCAGAGACGGGAGGGGCGGCGGCGAGGAGATACATATTAAATCACACCAGCAGTAGTTCCGCCTGTAGAAACGAAATGTCTCATCCGCGCGCGGACACCAAAGACCCGTATGTGTACGCATTTCGCATTTCCGTCGGTTTCATGCGCCCGCATGCCCCCCGTCTCCCTATTTTTGACCCTCCACCGGCCTCCCGTCGGCCAGTGGGAAGTTATCCCGGGTTCGTACAACCTTCACTTCTACTTCAATCCCAGGAGCTACACGATGCAGTGGTCCCAGCCTGCCGGTACGGTCATTTGTAAGGTGAGACGTCGGAAGGTTCCACTTCGACGTTGATGCCACTCGGACACATGTCCGATGGGGAAGAAGTGCGCAAGCTTTAGACGCCTCACGTAGCGCACACGGGGTGCTTCGGAATAGTATGCCTGTACCAGGATGTGCTTGAAAGCCCTAAGGACAGCGTACAATTTTGCCCACAAGACCTACAAGTTCTTCGATATTTTTGCCAAGTCGGGTTTCTTCTCTCTGAGGTGGTTTTGGTCATGAGCATCAACGCGTCTACACGACCCCCTCCCGTGAACCGCATGCATTCTCGTCCAATAACACGTCTGGCTGCAGGAGTGCGATCTTCAGTTCAGCACGCGGTGGTGCAACCGAGACTCGAAGCCGTTCTGCGATACCTGCTACGACGCGCGGCACTTCTCGAAGGAAAACCCGTCTACAGGGGTAAGACCGTCAGTCCTACAAGTTTTCAAATCTGTTTTTCGCTTCACGGGACCGTCTTTGCGAGGATACCAAGCGTTACATGAAATATATTGAGAGGGTTGTTCGTAACCGTAACACCCAGCCCAACCCCGTAACCCCTACAATATCCAAGGTTAACATCCTCGCAAAGGCTGCTGATTTCAAACCATCCACCACCATCGGGCGCCGGCAAGCGCTTAGCACTAAGCACATTTTGCTTGATTCGGCGCGTACAAATGTGCAGCCGTTGTCGTACAAGACACTGGACGGTGCAGTGCCCGGCTCGAAAGAACTCGTGGACTTGGACTACATCTCCGAGCAGCCCGACATTGCGGTAGAGACGTGGGAGCAACAGCCAAGCTCCTTAGCCATCGAGGGACATCCGGTTGTGCCGATACCGGAGGCGCCGAAAGCATCGGCTCTCGACGATGCCGGTGCTGCCGGTGGTGATGGCGGCAGTCAGTACGCGGTACAGCAGCATGCTACCGGGGCAAGCGACATCGTGGGGTTCGGGCGTTCGGACGACGAACCATCTGGAGTGCTACAGCCGGCTGGTGTGCGCGACGAGGCTGACGGGGGCACAGGCGAATCAGAGATGGAGGAGTACCTGGATTCCCAGCAGACCTTTACATACGACAATCCGTCAGAAGGTATCTCAAACGCAGAGCAAATAGTAGACGTCGGTGGGAATGACAACAGCTTCAATACCCCAAATGGGGCCCTCGCAGAGGGAAGTGATAACAACACCCGAGGTGTTGTTGACGGATCGAGCGATGTCGCGTGGGAAAAAAAGAAAGGCGCCGAAGCCAGCGCAAGCGGCGTCGGTGCAGCGAGTATCGCTCCAGAAACTTGGGGGTGGGCAACGCCAGGTTCAGCATGGTCGGACGACGGCGGCCGTGTAGAAAGCGCCAGCAGTGGAGAATTCCATGACGGGGTGACGGACTGCCCGGCGACAGGACCACTTCCCGCGGGCCTCCAAGAGAAGGACACGACGAACAACGTTAGTGTTGGACCGGAGGAGGGCGAGGCTGCTTCGATTGCTGGAATAGAGGGATTGATGAAAGCAGAGGCCAGCGAGTATGATCCCTCCACGCCGTCGTATGGGTTGGACAAGTAGGCGGGAAAACGTCGAGAGTACTCTACCAGCTTCTTCGCGGTGATCCGATTGCGTTGGCAATGAAATGCATCGCTGACGGTTGATTGTAGGCCGTACAAGATTATCGCCAAATGCTCTATTTCGTCGATCCTGTAGGTGGGCGGTTTCCGTGATGTTGGAGCACCTGAGGAGACGATTTGGTAGTGCTATGGATGCTGTTGGTTAATTTGGTTGGCACCTCCGACGCTACGAATACTCTCCCACAACCGCCACAAACTCTTTGTTCACCAAGCATCAACAACAACAGCAGCAGCAGCATCACCACCACCACTGACACAATGACAACAATGACAAACTCGTGTCATGGTACATTGAATATACCAGTACATCGAGTTGAAATGTCTTGTCCTGTGTTGTGTGTGCCCACAGCCCTTGCTACTGGACAAAAACGTGTGTCGATCGTTCCCGCGAAGAACCTCTGGCTCCCTCCCGCCGAAGGCATCAGCACCGCCGCGGACCCGCTAAGGGCCGTTTTGATCATTCCACATTTTTGTTCGAAAGTTTCCAAATATTTGGAGTGAAATATTTGGTTTGGAACCAACATCTTCATTGTAAACGCGCTGCAAGGCAACTTTCCAAATTCCAAATCAATTTCGCCGCATGTGATGGCGAGTGGGCATGCCCCTTCAAACCCACCACGCACGCCACAGACAACGGCCCCACACGCGCTACACCATTGTAGGATCCAACGTAGAGAGGGGTAGTGGTCACCAAGGGCAAATCCCGGCAGGATTCAGCAAACAGGGTGGTTAACGGCGCTGCTGTAGGTCCAGACGCATTCGGTTTCCCTGCTCGGCAGGCGGCCAGGCAACACCTCAGGCCAAGGCGAGCAAGCGCGAAGCAGCAAGGTACCGAGAGCATGCTCTACTTGCTGGATAGCGTCAGCCAGGTTGTTGAAAGGAGAAGCCATCATGTCTCGGGCACCGAGGTTGCAGCAGCAGGTGTGTGAGAAGCTTGTTATTGTCGATCTCGCCATCTGTCTACATACGTGTCCGCCTGGTGTGTGCGTGTGTCGCTCGTAGTCCCCTCTCTCTCGTCTCGCCGCACTCGATCGCACCCGCGATACCACCCCAACTCTTCGTCTCGCACTGCAAGTCAAGCATGTGTCGGGTGGTATTCATGATTCAAAAAGCTGATACCCACATGTGTGCGTCCCTATTCTTGTATTAGGACCTCCGACTCTGTAGGACACATTTCGAAGATGCTGGTGCCACCGGCGGTGCTGCTGTTACCCACTGGGTAAAGCAGCTGTAGTCTGCGTCTACATGTAGTTTGTACATGGGCACATACATGCCGAGAGTACCACTGTTGTGTCCCCGAACCTACTGTTGTATCACCGAAACCTGCTGTAATCCGTCAGTCGAGTCGGCAGCAGCAGTGCTAAATCGTTTGTTTTTTAGTGTACCATGTGCAGCAGTACACAAATGTAGTCTACAGCATATTTTTTCACTCATGCGTTGTGGCGTGTTCGTCCACAGCAGCAGCCATTCTGCCAGCGAGCAGTCCTTGCAAGGCAGAATGTGGATTGGTTCGTACAGCAGTACAACGCATTCATCAGAATACTCCCCCTCACCCCTGCGACTGCTGTTGTCGACACCAAACATGCGTGACCACGACACGAGAAAATAAGGTACTTTTTTTTTTGCAGTACGTTTTCACCTACATTCCGCTCTCTCGCGCGCACCCGACAATTTCTGAGGTGCGAATGCTTCAATACTTGACTGAGCGTCCCGCAACGTTGCCACTTTTTTTGTTTCACGTCATTAAGGCGAAAATGCCGCTACAGGGGGCGATCGCACCTCATGCAGCCGGAAGAAAAAAAAAAAAATGGATCTTCCGCGCGTGACCGAGTAGACGGTTGGAAGAGGAAAGGCCTTCCCGAGAGCAACGGACGCAGCTGGCGCGTAAGCAGCGCTCGACAGCGAGGATACAGCGCGGAGAAACGGGGCACCGCCTACGGCATTTTGGAGGACTTCACGAACGAAATAGTGAAGGTGATCTCTGAAAGCAAGAATCGATTCAGGCAGCCCACCCCTTCGATTTTCTTCTTGCCACAGAACGCGCTTGCATAATCATCTTCATGCCATTCTCTGCTTGTATCGGTACAGGAACGCCTTTTCTGAGCTATCCCACGCCTCAACATATTTGTGTGCCATCTACCTTCTTCCCCTCGCTCCTCGACAAGCTTTTGCTTAGACATGGGTTGTAGCGAAGGGGGGGGTCTTTCTGGCGAGCAGGGCTAGACTCACCCTCAAGGGATGACCGAAACCTTNCTGCCCACGTTGTTAATTTTCCTTGTCTCGAGTGCGCAACGAAACGGCAGATCGGCGCACCAGCAAAACAAAAAACGATGTACAGCAGTAGCAGTGTTGCCTTGCAATTTTCGCCCACCCGACCTGCCCCCGATCGCCCTTCTCACATATTTTTGCGATGGTCAATAATGTCGCAGGTTGATGGAGCGGTGGGGGAATATCTCGCAGTAGAAGGGAGGGATGAGAGCGAGCGGGAATTGGGTGGGGATATAGGAGGGCTCGTTGCTCGAGGGGTGATCCACGTGGCATTCCTGCATTATCGCCATATATTTCTGGGACACTTTCGTTTAGCACAACGTATATTCGATACGTTCGGGTTTTGGCGTCCCTCGCTTCGGGCTTGGTTATGCATGTCGGTGTGGTTCCTGGAAGGCCCACGCACTTGCCATTGTTGTTATAAAAAGGAGGGCGAAGACGGCACGGTGGCAAGATTTTATTGTTGTTCCACGCCACTCGTAAAACCGTGGCATGCTTGTTTGTTAAAGGGCGAAGCAATGCATTTGTAGGTAACGTAGGTTAATCACCTCTTGAGGAAACAAGCATTGCGTGAGAACTGAATGACACATGCTGAAATGTAGGTGCAGACATGTTTGTGGCAGCATCGCATGCGTTCGTACTTTGGGGAGCAGGAAAGAGAGTTTAACCTATGCTCAGAAATATACCTTGCCCTGACACCGATTACCCGGCGGCGTTTTTTTTGCCGTGTCGTAACCCGTTTGACGAATGACCTTTCAGCATGGCCATGTTTGTGGTTCCCTTTATGTTACGTCGTTCTCAGGTGGGCTTCTTCGTTTGGGCCAACGTGCCACGTGCGTGACTTTTAAGGAAGAGAATGGGGATAGCACTCATCATGCTCCGGTGGTCACCGTATACTGCGCTTTGCGTCAAAGGTCAAACGCATTTTACCGCGTGAATGAATTCCCAACATTTTGTTGTTCGTGGTGTTTAAACCACAAACGCCACACCTCCCCACAGGGAGTTTTCTCTACTTCGTGCGGTCTACAATACTTCACTTGCCGTGCAGAACACCCCCCTCCATGAGAATCTCCCCCCCAAAAGACTGGCCGAAGCTCAAATTTTGAGTTAGCCCTGGGGCATTTTAGTTTTATTTGTCGCGGTTGGGCAATGTCCGAGGCATTACTCCCGGGACCTTCATCGTTTCATTCGCCTCCGTAGAGTGGCACTCCTCGTTCTGCAACAATTGCCCCTTCGACCCATAAATTTAGTGTGTGGGGTGTTTATCACGACATACACAGGGCCTCCGACACGCTTATTCTTTCGGATTGGCCATCTATATGATGCTGGCCGTCAGCGCGGCTGCCGCCCTATGATTGTTGAGCTCGTCTACCTTTGGGCAGGTGGTGATCAAAGATGGGAGTCGCAACCGTGAAAAATTAGCTGACAAACTGAAGAAATCGCAAGCAACACCCAGGTTGCGACACACTGCCCTGCGCCTGTTGTTGCTGAAAACTGAAAACAGCAGGCCGGGTGGCTAGGATCTTTCTAAGTGTATTATCCTCTGTGTCGGGCGCTACTCATTGCACTTTTACCGCTGCTCTATGGTGAGCAACACCAAGTCAACCTGTTGTGTGCCGAGCAAAGCGTGTATTAGGGGAGGAAACGTACTTATTGCGATGACATCACGAATAGAACAAGCGAAAAAAGTCGGGGTTTCTTTTCACCGTTCCGTGGAACATTGCACGATTTTTCTGAAGCGTTAACAACGAGCCTAAAGAGGGGGGTTGTCTCAAGTTGGTTGTCTCCTTCAAAATCCTTCCGACAAAACACGACAGGGTTGCTCACCCCTAGATTCTTAGATTCTAGCTCCACGCAAGCTCCGCCCCTACATTGTCGACTCAAAGGTGGGCTACAAAAATATGTCGTAAACTAGTAATATAGCGTGTTTCTAACCTACAGTGCGTCGCCGTAAACGAACGCTTCAATACTACTGGTGCTGTGACCACGCCAAGACAGACCCAACACAACTGGCCCTTGTGCTGCTAAATGCCGACGATTTCACATGTTTGTTCACAACAACGCTTTGCACCGGTTGGCTCAAGAGATATGACATCATTGCATCGGTAACGCACATACCTACACAGCAGCAGTAGCTTCGCCAGGGGGGTGTTCCGCGGTAAAGACGAATTGTCTCTCCCGCGGCGAGGAAATACTCGAATGAAAAACCGTTTTTGCATACATGTCTAAAACGACGTTTAGAAGCATAAAAAAAAGAGCAACAAAAAAAAATGTGATCGGATCGCCTTGATTGTGTTTTTTCACCGCGTTGCCGATTTCGGCGCCTCCATTTCTCCTCGGCAATCGATTCCGCTTGGCCGATTTAGAGGGGGTAGAGCCACTCAGAAAGTTGATCAGACAAAAACTCGACGTGGGAACCGAGAATCCACAATAATCCCAGGAATNAAAGCAGAGGGCCGGGAAACCCAAGCGGAAACGGGTTACTGGAGACAAACAGGGCATGTCCGTCTCCCCCCCTCTCTGCCCACTTGCGTGGTAGTCGACCTTGTGCTCCCAGGGTATTTGCCAGCTGCTCCATACAGCAGTTGTTGAACGCGTACTCGTTCATCGATGCCTGCAGTACATCCATCCTCGAGAGTGTCGCCGCCTACAGATGTTCGCAAGGAACTATGGACGTGTGTGCTCTTCCACATTTGGGTGCCCCGGCTCGAAAACAGCCTGCTGCGTCTTGGGAACAAGACCATGAACGAGCGTCGACATGACCACCCCTGTGCTCAGCCATGTGCTGTCGCGGTGGGATCGCTGCTGCGTGCACCTCGTCTGGAGCATCTCCTCTCGATCGAGAAAAAGCGCTGCAACAGGAGTCACACCACGTTATCTGCTGTCCACCGTGACACAGACAGTGTCCAAGTTAGCTCTGCTGTTGCCTAGCCCTTGTGGTACGGCCTGTGGCGCGCTTGGCTGGGGATGTAGTACTCCACAACTTTGGAAAGCTTCCAAACTACTGGTTCAATATTTTCGGGCCCAGGTTCGTTCCAAGTTATTTTAAGAAATTTGAAGGAACGCCTCTGTACAAGTTCCAAATATTGGAACTTTGCAACTTTGGAACAAAAAATTGGAATAAGGCTGTTTCTTACAGAACCGGATTCTTGATCTGAAAAATCGATTTTTTCGGCCGGACAATAATCCGGCTGGGAAAAACGTACGACCCTTCTTACAGGAACCGGATTTTAGTCAGCGGATTTTTTGCTGGACTGTCATGTATTTTTGAAATGCAGCGCGCGCGCACGCGCGGGTAAAAAGTGCCAGCACGACATACACGCGCACAGCAGCAGACCTCACGCGGCAGACCACACAACCATTGCACAACATGCCCGATGGAGGTGCATCTGAGCAGCCTGAGGCGCTCTTGCTGAATTACAACCCATTGGCGAAGGCCGCTGTCGCACACTTTGGCGACTGCATCGAGGGCGGCATGACGAAGAAGCAGATAATGTTGCAGCTGCAGAGCGTTTGCGCCACCTACGCTTGCCAGGGAGTGAAGCGGAACGCTGGCTTGACAAACAAGAAGAGTAAACAGAAAGCTGCGACCCACGCTTACAAGACAATCGTGGTTCCCGGTTTTTTGG